ATATATGGTGGCAATGGTGGCATGCATATACATAAATTTTAATTAATAGAAAATTCTTATATGCTTAAACTGTATACTTATAACCCCTCAGAAATCCATTGTCTACATTTGAGACACTGGCTACGTCACTGTATTGTTCTTCATTATGCTTTAGGCAGAATGTATGAGGGATTTGCATTGTTCTTTTACAATGCAGGTCCTCTTCTGTACCTCTTAGCACATCCTATTCTTTTTTTTTTTTTTAAGATTTTATTTATTTGTTTGAGAGAGAGAATGAGATAGCACGAGATGGGGTAAGGTCAGAGGGAGAAGCAGACTCCCCGCTGAGCGGGAAGCCCGATGTGGGACTCGATCCCGGGACTCCAGGATCATGACCTGAGCCGAAGGCAGTCGCTTAACCAACTGAGCCACCCAGGCGCCCCAGCACATCCTATTCTTTACAGAGCATTTCATGGGCTCTTGATCCGGAACTTATCAGTGGTCCTTCATTTTTGTTTATGCTCCTTTTGTATTTGATGTTCAACTTGTTTTTTTGGTTATAAGCCAGGTACCTATCAGATTTCCTGCATGTCTTGTTTCAGATATTTTTACTTAAACATATCTCTTACCTTAACCAGGCCATAAGAATACCTACTGTGGGATACTATTTTTAGTCCCAGCTTTATGGTATGGGTGATTGATCTCCCACTGGGTTTGCCTTAGCCTTATGAGTGGGGCCCAGATAATGAAAAGGTAGATATTCCATTTTGAGATAATGGGTATGTGAGCTAGGATACTGATAGCGTATGAAGCAGATGTGCAGATAAGTGGACAATGATTAGCCACCAACCAAATCAGGGCTGTGTAAAGAAAGAAATGAATGAAAGACTCTGACTTGACTGACTGGAAGAAAGTTGGTCAGGACAACTACAATAAAGGTCAGGTGACAACCCCAGGACCTACACACATTTAGCTTGAGATGTGGGCATTGCTCAAGTGGACTGAGTGGATGTCAAGGCATGAGAATCACAAGCCTAAGGCAATAGTCAAAGCCCAAATATCACTGAGTGATATTCCCGTCTTTGAAGGGAAAAAATGGAGAAAGAAAAGAAAAAGAAAGCAAAGCGAATGGTACTGTGTTGAAACTTGACAGGTAGCAGAAAGAAAAGGAACCATTGTAAGGTACAGGGAACAATCATTTAAAGAAGTGGGAAAAAATCAGAGAAGTGTTTAAACCTACAGAGACAAGAATGAGTACTGTTTGGTCTTAAATACATAAAGAAAAAATCCCAAGTAGGGTTCATTATTGTAAAAGAAGAATAGGACGCTGGACAGTGGAGTGGCTCTTCCATTTGTGTATTTGAAGCCAAAATGTTAAATATCTCATGAGATATGTAATAGAAATAAGCTAATTTACTACTGATTTCCTCTTTGCTCTCTTTAATAAATAGATTACAAGGAGGTAATCCTTGCCACTCATATTTTTCTTTGCAAAAGAAATAAGTATAAATGATGATCATGCATATAACTACTACTACTACTACTACTGATGATGCTTTCTTATTTATTGAACGCCTACCTTGTATGAACCCAGTGGTAGTTGTTCTGTATACATTATGTCATCTACTCCACACAGTTACCTCTGAGGTAGCCGTTATTAACCTGAAAGCAACGAGACAACATTCATTAAGTCTTTTAACTAAAATCATAGAGCTGGAAAATGTCAGAGACAAGAACTAACACAGAAATCTGACTTTAAAGTCTGTGTTCTTCGGGATGCCTGGGTGGCTCAGTTGGTTAAGCGATTGCCTTCGGCTCAGGTCATGATCCTGGAGTCCTGGGATCGAGTCCCTCATTGGGCTCCCTGAGCAGCGGGGAGTCTGCTTCTCCCTCTGACCCTCCCCCCCTCATGTGTTCTCTCTCTCTCAGTCTCTCCCTCAAAATAAATAAATAAAATCTTTAAAAAAAATAAATAAAGTCTGTGTTCTTCAACAGAAGATAATTTTAAAGGATGAGTATGTGGTCATTTGCCTAGGTTGGCTGGGAAGTATAATGCTATATTAGTATAATTAAAAAAAAGATTTACTCCTTTTAGCTATAATAAAAGTAAGAACCTTCTGCATATTTTGAAAGTTGCATGCATTTAGCTCATTGACATTTAAAAAGTGCTCTAAAGAATATCTGCCACCTAGTAATCATACAAAATTTTTTGAAGGAATGAATAGATGGGTCAATACTAGACCTTAGTGGGAGGCTCCTTATCCCATGAACCTAAATTTCTAAGTCTGTAAGGATTATACCATCTATCTTCATTGAATCAGAAGTGTGAGAATGTCATGGTTGATTGATTGCCAACCTTTATTTTAAGCCCTACCAAGCAGCCTACTGTTAAGACAGTCTAGAGGGGCTGAAACACATAGCTCAAGACCAAACACAGATTCCCAGTTGTTGATCAGATGACAGAAAGTGTCATCTGTCCTTGGAATGAGGGTTTATGTGTGAAATAAGCTTCCAGATTTAGCAGAAGTAGTTAGAAAGCTTTTCTGTTTTGGCCTCCGGAGTATGAATCCCTTTAAGGTAGGGTTTCATGCATGTTTGTAAAAGGTTACCTGCCAAAGAAATGTCATTTCATTTGGCGCTCACTCCAAATGAGAGCTAGAAAGTAACTGGACACTTGGCATGCTTCAGCGAGCAGGAGAGAAATTTAGGTTTGTGAGAAGGAACAAATGATTATTTGAGTGAAATGCAAGAGGAATTGGTAAGGAAACAAGAGATTGGTGATCCTGAGAGATCCAATCACAAAGGATATTCACTGCATTCAATGATTTAAGATGAACGTTTTGTAAACCTTGATACAATGCCTCAATAAAACAGTGGCTTGGAAAGCCAGAGGTTATTAATTATTTTAAGTACTTTGTCCAAAATCATGTCTATATGTCTAAGATTTTATCCCCTATCTACTGCAAATGTTTATTATGGTATGCTTCAAATATATATATATATATATATATATGTATATATACATATAATAAACATATATATATTTTCATATATCTATGTACTGTGTATATGTATTTTTTAAATGTGTGAAATAGCTGGTTAGATATTTAAGCACAAGAAAAACTTGAGTACTTGGACTTTCCAGAAGTTTGATCTTTATCAGCCACTACATTTAAAAATATTTTACTTCTATGATAATTTTACATTGCATTTATTGAAGATTGTGCTAAAAAAACAAAGAACAGAACAACAACCAGAAGACTTAGAGTGAACCACAGGTAGTTTAGTGGGCTCTTGTAGAATTAGAAGATGGTCTCAGTTGGGAGTCACGGGTCTGCTCTGTGGCCCTAGGTTCTACACAGTGTCGCTCTGATACCCTAAGCAAGTCATTTTCTCCTTCTGACCCTCAGTTTTCGTTAATTATAAAACTATAAGTTTATATAATTTGTTCAACCTATCCTTCCATCTCTAACATGCTACATGTGTTTTCTCATTGGAATCAATGTGGAAACATTTTTAAATGACCCGAATTTAAAATCCATGAGGTGAATATTATCTTAAATATTGGTTGAGTAAAGGAAGGCCGTTACTTTAGTTAATGGAAAACTTCTCTTTGACAAGCACATCTGAATTCGGTATGTGTCATTGGGAATGACTCTCCATCTCTTTGTCCTGCCTTACTATTCTGTTTCCTTACTGTAACTTATAGTCATGTCACTTGAGAGTTGTTTTTTGTTTGTTTTGTTTTGTTTCTTTGTGTCTCATAGTAGATGAGTCTGAATCAGAACTAGGAAATTGAAGAAGGGAGTGTTACACTGAACTCTCCCTCCATCTTCTTTGTCTTTAAAACATGTCTGCTTCCTTCATCCCACTTTCTTGCATGGCCTCACACTGAGAACAGGCCTGCTTAGCACCTGTAGGACCTAGGTCTATGCTGTAGGTACCCTCCCTTTCTCCTCCTAGATTTTAGTTTCTCAAGGCCCTGTGTTCTGACAGGTATTTTATAAAATAACAGATACTATGATCATAGAGGCATTGATGATCTTGGCTAAGTCTTTTGCCTTTTATTAGAATTGTCTGGTGCTTTAAGGAAAATGAGTCATGGGGGGAGGGGAAAGTGGGCATAAGGGGAGGTAAGACTGTTGACTTCAGTGCTGATTCCTGAGAAATCTCGACACCAAGGCATCGGTAGATTTTGCGATGGTAAAGATGCTGTTCCCTCCTTTCTTTGTGATGTTAAATGAAGTGGAAACCATGACACTGTGGCATCCTGAGGATGTCAGTCTGAGAAAGCACCTCAGTGTGTTTAAACTGTTTGACATCAGTCAGACTTACCTTCTGGGATCGTAATCACACAGATGTTTTTTTCTGAGCAGTTTTCCATGGCTTCTCGTTAACCCTCAAGATCCTTAAGACTTTGAAAATGGGTCCACTTATCCCACACATTAGAATTAGAAATATCTAACAGCTTGTATATGCACTGGAAATGACCAGTAGAAACAGAACAAGGAAATATCATAAAGTCTTGTAAGAGTAACTGCACTTTTGCCATTTCTTTCCAGCTGTGTCCTGTGGAATCCCTGAGTCTCCAGGAAATGGTTCATTTACGGGCAACGAGTTCACATTGAATAGTAAAGTGACGTATGAATGTAATGAGGGCTTTCAGCTGGATGCTGGCCAGCAAGCAGCCGCTGTGTGTCGGGAAGACGGATTATGGAACAACACGGGCAAGCCTCCCATGTGTAAACGTGAGTGTTCCAGTGCCTTTGCACATCCTGGCAGATGTAATTTGGAGCGAGATTCACGGCTGAGAACTCCACATTCCTAAGCGTAGAGACCCTCTCCCACAGCCTGTGACGCCTTGGTCTCTTGCATTGTGGTAATATTAGAGCTAATCTACATTTGGAAATGCTAAAAAAAATTAAAAATAAGATAAAAAAATGAAACCAATCTATTCCACAGAAAATGCTCCAACCATATAAGATAAGCTCAGCCTTCTTGAAAGTTGGTCAAATAGAATCACATTGGTTCCGTCAGGATCTAGACCGTATGATTTATACAGCAAACCTTGACTATGCTGTCACTTTCAATTTGGTTAGATGAATTCGAGAAAATACTGAGACACATAGCCTCATGATAGCATTCTATGCAAAATATTAAGACATAATTCAACATGAGTTTCCTATTTGCCTCCCACCTCCTTATAAAATCCTTGAGGTTAAAGGCAGTGCCTTGCTTCCTAGTGTATCACCTACTCTACATAATACATTGGTGCTCAATAAATGAGTCACTAATTTGTGAAGAGGAGTAAGTTTTCTGGAAAGCTCTTTATGCTATGATATTCTTAAAAAGGTCAGAAGTTTGGGCCCATGCTAGAACTGTAGTCTTAAAAAAATAATTAGTACATAATGCAGAGCCAAAGACAGCAAAAGTTCACACACACACACACCCCCACAATGTACACCAAGATTTTCATTGTATCTATATTAAAATTAGCCTCAAATAATCTAACTACCTAGTTTCTAACAGTTGAAAACTATATAATATTTCTGTATAAACTATTTTCATTCCTATGATATTTGAAAAATGTTTCCACATGATCTTCAATCATAAAACTAATTTATTGACCTTTTTTGTGTGTAGTATTTTGGTTATGTTGAAATTATTTAAACTACTTAGCTATGAACACATAAATGTTAACAGAATATAACTGACTTTCCTCCATAGTTCTTGTTTTTCCTGTGATCATTTTCATCTAATTATTTATTTTATTTTATTTTTTTATTTTTTGCAGAAAATTATTGCTTTTCCTGAGAGGCAGTGAGGCATTATTGAGACAATAGTAATATTTCTCACTTTTTATTTAATGAAGTACTATTTTATTATAATTAAGAAATAGTAAAGGGAGCTAGGATAATAAGATGCATCAGTAGGTTTTTAAGTTCAATCCTAGATAATGCGAGCCTAACCGTATGGATGGCAATAACACTGTATATTTTGGGCTCCTTATTATAAGAACGGTGTCCTAGGCACTTAAGAAACTGCTCACTTTGCACACACCCTAGAGGTTGTTATGAATAACCCTGGTCAACATAAAGTGTCTACTATGTGCCATATGTCTCAAATAGCTTATCTCTAAATCTCCTGACAGCTCTGAAAAGGAAGGACACACACGACCCTCCCAATGAAGTAAAAGCGCTTGTCTGCAGAGTTCGGGTTGAATTCCATTCTCTCTATAGTTCTAAATCCTGTGCCCTTTTCATTATGCCAGTTGTTTGGCGCCCTGCTTACACATAAATTCATGTAGGGAGCTTTAAAAGTTACTCTATGTCCAGGTCTGACTCTCAGAGATCCTGGGTTAACTAGTCTTGGATGGAAAACAGGCATCAGCGTTTTTTTGTTTTGTTTTAAGTTCTCTGGGTGCTATGCTTAAAATGTCAAGTATGTGCTAGGTTTTAAAGGCAAAGCCACTTAAAATTTGTATAGTGTCCGAGAAAGATATGATAAATGACAAGGTAACTGTGTAAATGATGTAAATGTAATTTTTATTCTTACATCATTTTTTTTAAAAAATAGACTCTGTCTTTTAGAACAGCTTTAGGCTTACAGAAAAAATAAGCAGGAGTACAGAGATTTCCCATATACTCCCTCCCCCACCATTATCAACATTCCCTATGAACAAACGGAGAAGTTCATTTGTTACAGATGATGAACCTAGTTTGATACATCATTATCACTCAAAGTTCATAGCTCACATAAAGGTTCACCCTTGGCATCATACACTCTATGGGTTTAGACAAATGAATAAATACATATATCCACCATTATGGTATCATAAATAATTTTTCACTGCCCTAAAAGTCTCCATGGTTTGCCTGTTATCCGCACCCCCCTACCCCTCAACACCTGGTAACCATTGATCTTTTTTTCTGTCTCCATAGTTTTGCCTTTTCCAGAATGTCATATATTTGGAATCATATACTATGTAGCCTTTTCAGAATTTTTTTTTTCACTTAGTGACATGTATTTAGGGTTCCTGTATGTCTTTTCATGGCTTGATAGATCATTTCTTTTTGGTGCTGCATAATATTTCATTGTCTGGATGGACCGCAGTTTATCCATTCCTCTGCTGAAGGACAACTTGGTTACTTACAAGTGTTGGCTCTTATCAATAAAGCTGCGATAAGCATACAGGTGCAGGTTTTATGTGGGCATACATTTTCAACTCCTTTGAATAAATACCAAGAAGTATGATTGTTGGGTCACATGGTAAGAGTATGTTTAGTTTTCCAAAGTGGCTGTGCCATTTTGCATTTCCCCCAGCAATGAGTGAGAGTTCCTGTTGCTCCACATCCTCATCAGAATTTGTTGTCAGTGTTCTGGATTTTAGCCATTCTAACACCTGTGCAGGTGTATCTCCTTGTTGTTTTAACTTGTATTTCCCTGATGACATATGCTGTGGAACATATTTTCATGTGCTTATTTGTCATTGGTCTACCTTCTTTGGTGAAGTTTATATGTAGGGCTTTTGCCCACTCTTAATCAAGATGTTCACTTTATTGTTGAGTTTTAAGAGTTCTTTGAATATTTTGGCTGCCAGTCCTTTATCAGAGATGCTTTTTCCAAGTATTTCCTGCCAGTCTCTGGCTTGTCTTCTCACTCTTGATGGTGTCTTTCGCAGAGCAGGAGTTTTCAGTTTTACTGGAGTACAGCTTATCAATTCGTTCTTTCATGGAACATGTCTTTGGTGTTGTCCTTAAAAAGTTATCCCCCCAGGAAAGGGTCTCCTAGATTTTCTCCTATGTTACCTTCTAGGAGTTTTATACTTCACATTTGGGCCTTTGACCAATTTCAAAGTAATGTTTGTGACAGGTGTAAGGTCTGTGCCTATCTTCATCTTGGCATGAGGATGTCTGGTTGTTCCAGCGCTATTTGTTGAAAGTCTATCTTTACTCCATTTGTTTTGCTTTTTGCTTCTTTGCCAAAGTTCAGTTTACTATGTGTTTGGGGTTTTTTTTTCTGGGTTTAATATTCTGCTCCATCAATATATGTGTCTTTTTTTTTTGCCAATAACACAGTGACTTCTCACTTTTATTTGGTTAAAACAGAATATAAAATGACACTTTTTTTCCAAAATGTATTTAATATGAATGCAACAATTTGGAAAATTAATTGAAAGAATATTTTCCATTTTCCTACAAAATCAATCTTGTTTTTGGTTTTAAATATTTCTAGGGACATAATTGATTTTACTAAAAATGCCCTGATGGACACAAATACTTCCATGATTTTTAAAGCTATAGGGATAGCTTTAAAGACATCACTTTTTCTAAAGATAATCCAGCTTATTGAAGATCACAGCCATATAGTCTCAGTGGTATTTTTTTTGGCATTTTATTTTAACTAATAAAGCATTATCTTTGGATTAATGAAAGGCTGCTCACATATGTGCCTGTTACTTCACAGATTGATGCAGTGAGCAAGAACTGTCAGTGTGTCACTGTAATGTTGAATTATTTCGTCTTGAGCACATGCTGGACAGAATGCCTTGAGTATAAGCGTAACCTATTTTTTATGTATGAGCCATATTTAAGTCTTCAGGCCATACCTCATTGGGTTAAGCAATTATGCAACCCAGATTTTTAACCCTGCTTTACAGCTTGGTCTCCAGAATGCCAATGGAAGTGGTTTCTATTTGGCAGTAAATGGGTCACCATCATAAAACCCCAACATAAAGAGCCAACTATGTCAGAATTAGGAGGCAAAGAGGCCCAATATAGCTTTCTAAGTCCTTAGTTGGGGTTAGAGAAAGAAAAAAGCTGAGCATTTCAAAAAGAGAGAAGTGGACAAAATGCTTTGGATTCCATGGAGAAAGTGTGTGAGATACTCCAGGGGGCACAGAGAGCCAAAGAAATGACTCGTACGGGGAGGTGCTGTACACACCCTAGCTCATCCACCCAGTGTTTGGTGACGTGTGCTCTGTGAGGACCTCTGGTTTCGACTACTGGCATAAGAAGGTTGATAAGATAAGCCTTTGCCCTTTGGAGTCTCCACAAATGCACAGGACCTGAGGTAAATGGCTGATGCCATCATAGTGGGAAGAGATTAGATGTTGATGGAGCCACATGTGGATTCTCAGCCTGGGATCAGCCTTTACAGAGGAGATGGCTCTCTGCTGGGATGAGTGCATGGTCCCAGGAAATAGTGGTAATTTCTTGACCAATTTCTTGAATGGTCACTATAGACGTTGGACCATGCCAAACATGTCCATGCTACATCATTCAATTATAATAACAGTCGTATGGAGAAAATATTGCTTTCCTTATCTTACTGATTTAATAAAAAGCAAATAACTGAGATAGATAAATCCGCAACTTGCAACCAAGTAAATGTGATTGGTCATTATAAAAACACTGAGGGAATTATTTCAGTGTACTGAAACTGCTCTGTTGGAGGTCTCCTGCTGTCCCGGGGAAAGCTATATGGTGGCACTGATGGGGTAGGGATGCTTTAGGGATTTTGAAAGCACAGCAATTGTGTGTTGCTCCCAGGACCTGCCTGGGGAGGTGCTACACCATAGTGCAATGTGAATTCACGGCTCTGTGTGAGGGAAAGGGCAGAGACAAGGGAGAAGGTGCTGAGATCGAGCCCCGCAAAATCAAGAGTTGGAGGCTTAACTGACTGAGCCACCCAGGTGCTTCAATAGCTCTTTTAAGACCAGTCCTGGACACCCTACTATCTTCCAAGC